ATGACGTCAGACAATGTAGGCCAGTTTTCCCCAGTCAAGAATGCATTGAGCTGTAGACCAAATCAGGTTATGATGAGTGAAGAGCGATGGTTTCGTTATAACTTATTTGGCCTACTGCACAGAGATTCAACCTAATGGAAGGTACTTCCGAAGGGTTGCCGGTTAATACCAATTTTCGTTGGCCTTTATTCTAAAGTTGGTAGAAAATGCATTACAATTAGGTAAAAGTTTCATAATTGAGTGTCAACAATTAAAGTTAATAACAATCAAGTTAAAATACAGTAATTAGTGATTAATAAAAAACTTATGGCAACGCTGGTAGCTTCAAAGGTACGACCGAAAGTGGTTGCAAATTTTCCTCTCTGAAGAAGTTGACTCCTTTGTTGTGTTTCTCTGGTGAATTGTTGTATTAGCATGAAGAGGTAATGAACATAATGCTATTCAGTAACGTATTTTAAGAAAAAAGTCATTCAGGATTTGGAAGTTATAATTTTACAAGCTTTTATTGTAACTATTAGTCTCAACAGTGTTTCCAATACATTTATAAACAATTATTATGGTGAAACTTAGGCAAAAACAAAAACCGAAAATGCATTTACTTAAAAATTTACCTACTTTTCGTTGACAAACTTACATTTTCTTCGGATAGTGAACTTATAATCGTAAACTGAGCCAAAATGCGAAAAAATCAGCCAGATAGCAAAATTTAATATAATCCATATTAACGCCGCCCTCGTAATGGGAAATAAACTGGCCTACATGAAATGACGCCACGCGTAACCGCTAGAGATGTTTTTAAGGCGGTGTTGAATAAAAGCATCGCACGCTGCACGCAAGTGCCCAGAAGGCCCCCAGACTTTCATGATTTTTCTGAGCAAACTTTTGCCTTCAAAATACCCCAGAAGGAGAAATCCATCGGGTTCAAACCCGGAGAAATTGCCAGCCATAGTGTCAAAGGACTGACGCCTGCAAGGTTGGTCGACTGACGCTTTGTGAGACGTTGCTAAGTCTCTGGAATGTCTGGTGCTTCCCACTAAAATGTTGGTTTGCACAGTACTTCAATAGACTTTCTGGAACTTTTTTACGACAGATTCTGACATTAGATTTGAGTCCACGATCCAAAAAGACGAGCGGAGTGCGTCCATCAGTAGTCACTACGGCCCAGGCCATCAAAGACGGCGGGGCTGCTTTCTGCCGACCTTTGAAAGGTGTTGTGATCTCTGCTTTAACATAGTACTCGACACGATCATTTCGGACGTTAAATCTTTGCACTACTTTGAATTGTATATACTTTCCTGACTGTGTTTCAATTCCAAATCAAAATTCATTCCTGGGTTTCAGTCATTTATTGTCTCTATTTATCAATTAAAATACGTTTCG